CTCAGCACTTGGGATCACACACCTTTAATCCCAGTGTTGGGGAGGTATAAAAGGCAAGGGGTCTGTGTGGAGATTGATTCTCCAGCCACGCTGGGGAGAGGCAGCAGTCTGAGGCTTGGTGAGAGCCCAGGGAGACAGGAGTAGCCCTTTTCAGCGGGGTAGAGTTGAGATCTACAGGCTTGGTTGCTTTGCTTATCTGACCCTCAGCTATTAGTTTTATACCACTGGCCATCACTGCCCACTCTTCCACCGCATGGTGGCTCCCAGTCCAGTCTCAGCTTCTGGCTTTTATAGGCCAAACGAGGTGTCAGTTCTGTGACTATGAGCTGATCTCAGCTAGGTCCAATGACAGCACAACTGTTTACCTGGACTGGCTTCCTAACTCCAGCTCCTCCTGGATGGGCACCTCACTTCCCAGGCCTCAGCTCTTCTCATCTGTCAAACAGGCAACCAGGCAGCTGAAGGGGCAGCCCTACTCTCCCAGAGGAGCCAGGTTCTGGGCAGGGCAGGGAGTATCTGTTATTTCTCTTACTGAAGGCCAAGTCCAGGTAACCAACCATAGACCACCTCCTCTGAACTCCATCTATTCTCAGAGCAGAACATCCAGAAATCTATTCCCTATCCCTAGGGGACACTCTTAGACCCAAAGATAAAAACTGGAGGATGTAGCTGAGCAGTGATGACGAATGCCTTTAATCCCAGCACTTGGGAGGCAGAGGCAGGCTGATCTCTGTGAGTTCAAGGCCAGCCTGGTCTACAGAGCGAATTCCAGGACAGCCTCCAAAATAATACAGGGAAACCCTGTCTCAAAATGCTGCCCCCCAAAACAAACAAAAACAAAGACTGGAGGATGTATACACCATGTAAGCAAGCTCTCTGTCTTTCTGTCTCTCCATTTCTCTGTGTGCACACATGTTGAGACAGGGTCTCGGGTAGTCCAAACTGGCCTCACATTTATTATAGAGTCAAGGACCTTGAACTCTTCTAGTCTCCAGCCTCCAGCAGGGCAAGCCTGGACCAAAGTCTCTGTGCAGAGAGGGACACGGATGACAAATCCAGGGCAAGAACCATTCTGTCTCCTTTAAAAGCAGCCCAGCGCCCACAGCCCCATGGTGGAGTGTGGAATAGGAACTCTTCTTCCATGGGAGAACTGAGATCTGTGGTTGGCCATAGGTGAGACTTCAGAAGCCTACAGCAGACCCTCAAGCAGCTACTACACAGCCTAGGAGTCCTGCTTTGGCCCAGCACCCATCCCTCATCTTCTGTGTTGGACAAAAGTCAGACTTGGCTTGGAACAGGCAGCTGGGCAGGGCTCTGAGCACTAACTGTAGGAGGAGGGGCAGCCATGCTAGAGCCCGGCTCTGCACCCGACACTCCACTCAGGTTTCTCTCCCTACTTTTACACCTCAGTATAGCCTCTGCCTCTCTGAGGTAGCCCCAAGCCCAGCCCACTCAAAGACCCCAGAATTCCAGTTAGATGGCTTGGTGACCTCACCCTTGACCCACTCAGCAGACTGTAACCATGAAGCCCTGCCCTCCCCCCCCAAAAAAAACAGCTGATACGTGGTAAACATCAGTGCAATAAACATCCTGCAAACCAATGAACAAACAGGGCTCTCACTGACAAGCTACCCTGCCCTCTCTGTACCTCAGCATCTACATCTGCCAGATGACATGGCATGTACTGGCCAGCTGCCCAGAGCCCCTAGTGGGAAGGAGATATGGAGGCAAGAAATGCCCAGTAGATGAGAGCTGACTGGAGCCAGGAGAGAGGCAGGGGTGGGCATTCACCAGAAGAGGCCAGAGAAGGATGGGGCATTGGTGAGAGCAGGTGATTAATGACTAAGAGCTTCAATCAGAGGAGGGTGAACCTGGCTCCTGTGAGATTCTGTGGAGCCTATGACCTACAGCACTCACTGAGCCCCATCCCTAACCCTAACCCACATTCCTAACCCTAACCCTAACCCCATCCCTAACCCTAACCCTAACCCTAACCCCATTCCTAACCCTAACCCTAACCCCATCCCTAACCCTAACCCTAACTCCATCCCTAACCCCATCCCTAACCCTAATCACAGGCATCTTCAAGAACCCAGAGGCCAGTGGAGGATGAATCTGACAGGGGCTCCTGCCCCTCAACTCCCTGCTACTCACCAGCCACACAGCCTCCCACACCCCCAAAAAAAAAAGGCCCTATCTCATCAGCAGTAGGAAATAAGAGAGAACAAGCTAATCTAAGAGTCCATGACGAGGCCAGCTCTGCCAGGAGCTGGTTTCCACAGCTGTGGAATGAACAGCAGGGTGCTCCCTGCCCTAGTAACACCCCAGCACGACATGGGGGAGGGGAGCTACTTGAAGCTGAAGTTGGGTAGTGGTATAAGAATGGGTGCCTCGCTGGGTGGTGGTAAGTTCAAGGACTACCTGGAGGAGGAAGAGGAGGAGGAGGAGGGGAAGGAGGAAGAGAGGTGGCTCTCAGTTTACTGAGGCCAATGTCAGAGGCAATGGAGCAGAAAAGGGACAAAAAGAAACATTCTGGACCCTGCAGCAGTGCTAAGGAAAAGCCCAGTTCTCTGGGGCATCCTGGAGTCTGAACTGAAAAAGTCTGGATTTAAAGCCTGGCCTTTCTCCACCCCCGCCACGAAGGCAGCTCACCCAGGATACATGGAGCCTCAGAGTTCCTGTTTGTACAATAAAACCAGCCACCCTGTCACTTCACAAGGCCTACATGGGAGGACAGCTAGGCCGTCTTGACAAAGGCCTGCCTCACTAGTTCCTGAGGTGGGCTCAGTACTCCCTCTACATGGAGCCTCGCCCGGCACCTTATAGGACACTTGACCCCTCTTCTGCAACCCCAAAGCCCTGCTCAGCGGCTTCCCTCTGCCTGTCTAGCAACCAAGGGTCACTGCAATGTCTCTGTCTGGCCACCTTCCACTCCATCCCCATTGCTCACACATGCACGTCACACCCAGAATGAGGCCTAGTCTGCTCTGGCTATCCACAGACCCTGCCAGGCTGGCTCCCAAGTCTTTACAAGTTCACCTTCCTCTCCCTACCCTGCCTCAGCAAGGTAAGTCCCAGTTGGAGTCCTCACACCCTCACGTTGGCTGTTGCTGCCATCAGGGGCACCTTCCCTCAGATCGCTTTCTTTTGTCACTGGCCCAAGGCCTTCCTGACCCCCTGACCCTAATCCCCCCCCCCACACAAATCTCTCTCTCCAGGTCTCAACCCCACAGTGCTAGCCCTTGTTTATGTCTCCCTGCCTTCAGGAATGTCGACCACAGGAGAGAAAGGTCACTTTTGCTCCCTACCCCCATGACCCAGCTTGGCTGAGCGGTAAACAGCTGCTCAGAACTGGAACTAAACAGTCCAAAGACCCAAGGAACCCTGGAGAAAGGGCTCACAGGCAGTGACAAATGCTGTCTGGGTGTTCAGGGGGATACTAAGTGCTCAGACCTGACAGAACACCCTCCCTGACTTCAGTGCCAAGAAAATCCCATCACCTTCCCCCTCCCCAGAAAGTCCCCCCAACCCCCACTGCTGATAGGACAGTCTTGTCCCAGCAGTGCCAGCCCCGCCCACCAGACTCCAAGAACAATGTACAAAGGGCCGCTTTAGTGCCATCTCTAGCCCAGAGGGCTGGAGGAGGGAGGGGGTGCTCCCTAACCCTCCATTGTCCTCTCAGGACCTCTCTGCTAATGGAGTCAAGCCCCTTGCAAGGCAGCTTTGTTCCTAACATTGTCCTTGTAAGATGGAAGGGGGCAATCAGTGCCCAGGGTAAGGGGCAGGTGTCACAGGAGACATTGCTATGGGCACAGATCCATCTGTATGGCGGGCAGGTGGCAGGAGCCTGAGTGTCAGCTGGTCTATGGGGGAGCGAGCTGCAGAGCTGATAGAGTGAGCTGGGCCCCCCCCCCCAAGCAAGCAGGAAGTGAGCATGGCTGTAAAAAGCGAGCTGTGCAGTCTGGCTCCGGGAGGTGGCTTAACCTCTGTAAGCAAGCTGCAAAGTGCTCTGGAAGGGTTAGTCTCACAAACAAGCTGATAACCTATGACCCACGCCTGGCACTGAAGGAGGCTTCGCCAATTCTTTATGCCTGTTATCTTCTGGGGCCACTCAGTGATACACGACTAGCCAGGCAGCCACACACACCAGGTCCCAGGAGCCTCCCTCAACCCTTCCATTCAACAACCAACCTCCATGATTACCATCTCTCCTCTGTCTCATGGCCTGCAGGGAATTAAAAAAAGAAAAAGAAAGAAAAGAAAAACACAACACCTTCCACCTAAACTGGGCAGTGGCGGCGCATGCCTTTAACCCTAGCACTGGGGAGACAGAAGTAGGAGGATCTCTGTGAGTTCAAGGCCAGCCTGGTGTTGGCATTCCGGCATCATACTGACCCCACCCCCCCTGAAGACAGGCAGGGCACACGCACAGCACAGTAGCGTTTCACGTCATCGCTACATCACTCGTTATGGGGCTGCGTAACGACTCAGCTGCGTAAGGACTCAGTAAGCATGCTTAAGCTTCCCCTTTTAAGTTCCACACCATTATCCCCTCTCTCGCTCCACTCCGCGCCCCCCCCCCCCGTTTCTTCTTCTCTCTACCCATCTCTCCTCATGTCTGTCTCCCCCCTCTCGCTCTCCCGCCGCTGTAACAGAGTATAATTAATGTGCTGTCTCAGTCCCTACCTGTTGCAGGGTCACCCTGGCCAGCAGACCCCACCCGCACCCTAAACTGAGCCCAGGGGCTCAGCTGCCTTTGCCACAGCTGCCTTCTCTATTAACCCAGCCGTTTTGGCCACGGCTCCAGGTTCCTCTCTTCCTCTCCCCTCCCTCATTCTCCTCACATAGCCCGGCTCAGGCTTGCGGGTCCTGCTCAGTCTGGACCCTCCCAGATGTCTCTGGTTATGGTCTTCCTCTATCCACAATAGATTTCTCCTCCATCGGACCTAGGAGCAGCCATGCCCACCTTGCATTTCCTTTTTTTTCATTCAAGCACTCACCAAGTGTTGACGCAGCCTCTCTGAGGGACTTCTAACCAGGTCTTCTAACCAGCCAGGCTGGTACTAATCTTGGACCCCATGATCAGCAATCAGACACCTGAACAACAGCAGTTCAGCTTTCCTGGGAGAGCGCCAGTCAGGTTCACAGGAACCTGCCCACTCTTCTCCTTGGACCCAGCACCCTTTTGATAAAGCTCACGAATGCTAGAGGTCTGCACACTCCCAGGTAATCTCCCTGCTCACACCGGTCCCATAGGTTGGACTGCCTGCTAGGGCTGGGGCGTCTACCCTGCTCTGCTGAACTATGACCTACAGCCACCGCCCCAAGCACAAACTGACATGGAGGAAGTGAGGAACACCTGAAGCTCTTGGCAGTACTGTTGGGCTGTGTCAGGTCTAGTTTGCAGCTCAGGAAAATGCTCAGGGTCCTAGAGTTGCCTGCCATGTCTCCTCAGGTGCCTGAGCCCCTGGAGAAGTGGCTTCCCTATGGTTCTCTTCCAGAAAGAGGGGCAGTGGTATGGGGGGGGGGACACAAAAGGAATTGGTTCAGAGTAAGCCACAAAGAGCTGGGAGGAGCCATGGGTTTGGGAAACACAAAACTCCCTGCCTTCAGACAAGCACTAAAGAAAACAGGAATGGGCAAGACATATAATCTGTTTTTCCACCTAGAAGGCTGGGAGGTGACTAATAACCTGGTGGTTTATAATATCTGTAGGACCAGGCCATATCAAACTCCCACAAGCAGGACTGGGCATGCATGTAGCTATAGCCCAAATGACCTCTATACTATCTCTATGACCAAGACCACACCAGATCCTCCCCAGGCACTTATGTTAATACATGTAGCCTAGCTCTAGGACCCATCTTGGAAGAAGTGACATGTACTTTAAGTTTCAATGTAATTGTACCTCCTTGAGTACAGGGAAACTATTACACCAGGAAAGTTTTTTTTTCCAAATTGTACTGTACTTAAAGATAACTATAATAAACTGCCTGGTATCAGACTCTAGAAGTTTGAACCAGTCCAGCTAAGTTGTGTTGAACTGAATTTTCTTCTTGCTTCTTGTGGACCATTACTCTGCCCTCTGTAGCGTTTTTTAGGGACCACACACATGAGGATGAAAACTGTGGGAAATCAGGAGGAATGGCTGGAACAAGAAAGAGCCTTCAAGTCTTCCTCACTGTGTCCACACTGCTGTTCCCACTGTGCAAGAATGGCCTCAAACGGGGAGGATGCAGCAGGTGACAGTGCTCCCGTGTCTAGGGATCTGAGCATCGCCATGAGCATGGTCCCTGTAGAGCAAATGGAAGCTGCTGGCTCTGGGCCGCTGGGAGTCTTGTTCCTCCTCCCGGAATACTCTAGGCCACTCAGCTCTGCTCTCTGCCTGGGGCTCTCCTGAGAGGCAGGTCTGTCTGGTAATCAGCTGTGTAGACCCTAGCAGGGGGTGTTCTCGCAGGTACGGTGCCAGTTCCACGCACACAAAACTGTAGCCAAGTACTTTCCCATGCTATCAGAGTCTCTGAGGGTGTCGGGGCAGGACCATGGCACTAGGGTGACTTGATAATATGGGAGGATACTTCCGAGTGTCAGCAAGGACTAAGGGGCAGTCATGCCACAGCAGAGGCAGACTAGACCCTTCTGCAACAGGAAGCCTTGGGATAGGGTCTAACTACCTCATCTGGGGACACAAGAGGCCACCCCATCAAAGGGCATGGATGGAGCGCGCGCAAGAGATATCTCAGCAGTTGAGAGCACATTTTTTTTTTTTTTTTGGTTTTACGAGACAGGGTTTCTTTGTATTGTTTTGGAGGCTGTCGGTCCAGCCTGGCCTCGAACTCACAGAGATCTTCCTGCCTCTGCCTCCCGAGTGCTGGGATTAAAGGCGTGTGCCACCACCGCCGGGCTGAGAGCACATTTTGATCTTGTAGAGGAGTCAAGTTTGGTTCCCAGAATCCATGCTGGGTAACTCACAATGGCCTGTAACCCCCTCTCCTGAGGGATCTGACACCCTCTTCTGGCCTCACCTACACACACATAATTAAAAATAAATAATATCCCTTGTATTTATTTATTTTTATAAAAATCAGTGCTACCAAACAAGGACTTTAGGGGCTGAGCCCACTACTCATGACCTCCATGAGACCACCATCCAGTTAATCCTTGCCTCATCAATTACTTAACTTTCTCACCTGGAAGCCCCAGTCAGCACTAAAAGGCAGGCATCCAAGTGCTTACATACCCCAGTAACTCTGAGAGGCGGAGGCAGGAGGATCAGGAGTCCAAAGTCATGTCTCAAATTCAAGGCCAGCCTGGGCTACATGAAACCCTGTCTCAAAAAAAAAGAAAGAAAATTGTTTCTTGTACCACATACACTTGAGCCAGGAGTTCTGACAGCCAGCCATGGGGTAGCAGTGGGCAGGTGACAGAGCCACGGGGAACCAATGGGAAGGTGACAGAGCCACGGGGAACCAATGGGCAGGTGTCAGAGCCACGGGGGAGCAGCGGGAAGGTGACAGAGCCCCCAAGGGAGCAGCGGGCAGGTGACAGAGCCCCCAAGGGAGCAGCGGGCAGGTGACAGCACCAGAACAGATGGATGGAGGCAGGAGCTGTAACCAGGGATCTTTTCTTCCCTTTTGCCTTTAGAACTTAAAACTTCATTTTTTTATGACAGTTCCTTATACATTTTAGAAAATCAGGAAAACAGCAAAGGTAACAGGGCAGCATGTCCACTCTCCTGCCCTGCTGGCTCCTACAGGCCTGAGTTCACACAGACCCTCCCTTTCCCCCTGCACCCCCTTTTTTTCCTGGAATAAACCATCTCCATAGATTTCCTGCCACCTTTGGAACAACATGCATTTTCCTAAATGGACTTTGTCCTTCTGCACATGTGAGATTGGGAGCTCAGGGCCCTGGAGAGGAACTCCATCTTCCTCACTCCTTATCAACGCCAGACCCAACACTGATCCTGTGGAGAAACTCCCTGGCTTGGAATAGGAACAGTATGAGGAGTATAATGGTACAGAGAGTCCTGGGCTATCTCACACACACCACCAGAACCCTTAACCACTTCTTGAGGAACACTAAGTCCTGAGTGCCATAGACTTCAGTGTTCCTCCTACAATGGGCAGTTTTACGTGGCCATGAAGTCTGGGGCTTCCCAGCTCAGCCCCTTCTCTTGGCTGAGGTGACAATCACCTGGACTCGGCTTCACTTGTCTTATATATTCAAAAGCTGAGACAGAGAGTCTATCCGATCACTCTCTCCCTTTGTCATGGAGACACAAGGAACCACGAGGTGAGTCTTGCTGGTCCTCCATCTTATTTTCTTCAAAGGGTTTCTAACACGCTCTTCGCTGCACAATGTCCTTGGCACATATACCCTACCTATCCCATGGGGCAGGCAGACCAAAGCCTTGGGCAATATGGGCCCATCCTTGCTGGCCCTGGGGATCAGACATAACTTTGTATAAGAGCCTCAACAACAAGCCGGGCGGTGGTGGCGCATGCCTTTAATCCCAGCACTTGGGAGGCAGAGGCAGGCGGATCTCTGTGAGTTCGAGGCCAGGCTGGACCGACAGCCTCCAAAACAATACAGAGAAACCTTGTCTTGTTAAAAAAAAAAAAAAAAAGAGCCTCAACAACAAATGGACAAAGGATACAGAAAAGAGGTGAGACAGGGCTCTGGACAAAAGGACAAAAGCCAGCAGGGAAAACTAGCTCCTGAGTTCCTCCTATCTTTTTTGAGTCAGGATTTCTGTCTATAGAGCCCTGGCTGTCCTGAACTGTCCAGGTAGACCAGGTTGGTCTTGAGCTGCAAAATCTATCTGCTTCTGCCTCCTGAGTGCTAAGACTAAAGGCGTGCACCACCACATCCGGCCTCAGCTCCTGGATTTCTAAGGTGAGGGTGCTGGTGCCCCCACCCAAAGAATATGAGGCACACCATTCCTCCCTGATACATGTACCTGGGAACCATGGTTTCTGTCATGTTCTCCCCAGTAGTGGGTACAAGTCACCAGCCTGTGCTACAGTACTGTGGTGACATGGAAGTCTCAAGTCAGCCCTTGGACTCTAAAGTCCCCTGCATGGCGGTGACCTTTGGAGTGCACTATCTGCCCAAGGCTGGACCCAATCACAGAGACCTTCGGTCATTCTACCAGACCATTTTATAACATTGTAACCACGTGTGCAGCTCCTGTGACCTCCTCCAGCCATACTCCAGCTCACTCTCGGAGCACAGTGTGACAGTGAGCTACTGCCTTCCCATGGTTTCTCAGCACAAGCTATGGCAAGGGAAGAAGCAGCACTGTCCCTTCCTACCCAGTATGGACGGCTTTGAGAGCAGCGGAAAGAACACCATGGTCACAGCCCACGATGCAGGCTCTTTCTACGGCACCTCTCCCTGCTTGTGTGACTGCTCCAGCTTGAGACTCAGCTTCTACACAGAGAAACGAGAATTATCCTAGCACCGCTGCCTGGGACTCAAGTGATGCTAGAGCAACACCGCGCAAGAAAGACAGGCAATGTGTCTGAGCACAGCTCTGCAGCCCAGAACCCACACTGTTCTTCCAGAGCGCTAGAGTTGCTCCCAGTACCCACATCAAACAGCTCATAAACACCTCTGACTCCAGCTCCAAGGGACTCTTTTCTGATCTCCTCAGATACTTGCACTCATGTATACACGCAAACACACAATTAATAATAATAAAAAAAAAGGGCTGGAGAGATGGCTCAGCGGTTAAGGACACTAACTGTTCATCCTGAGTTCCTGAGTTCAATTCCCGGCAACCACATGGTGCCTCACAACCACCTTGAATGAGATCTGGTGCCCTCTGCTGGCATGCAGACAGAAGACTATAAACACAATAAATAAATAAAATAATAAAAAATAAAAAAGCTGGAGCCGGCATTGGTGGCGCACGCCTTTAATCCCAGCACTCGGGAGGCAGAGGCAGGCGGATCACTGTGAGTTCGAGACCAGCCTGGTCTACCAAGCGAGACAGCCTTCAAAGCCACAGGGAAACCCTGTCTCGAAAAACCAAAATAAATAAATAAATAAATAAATAAATAAATAAATAAATAAATAAATAAAGCTGGGTGTAGTCCTTTAGTCCCAGAACTTGGGAGACAGAGGCAAATGGATCTCTGAGTTTGAAGCCAGCCTGGTCTGCAGAGTGAGTAGCCAGGGCTACACAGAAAAACCCCGTCTCAAAATGCCAAGTATACATAAAGGCTGGAGAAATGGCTCAACG